AATCTGAGTTACCATCGATGATCATTAGAGTGCTGCTCTCAGGAAACGCACTATTTCCAAGTTCTACGGTTTGATCGGAGAACGAATCCGCCAAAATCAACCGATTATGGGCTGACCTCTTTGAAACTGCCTTCTCTACATACTACGAGACCATCCACAGGTATGAGACGAACAGGCTACGAAACATTGCTCGGTTTTTCGGCCATATGCTTAGCTCCGATGCCATCGGTTGGCATGTCTTGTCTATCGTCCACCTCAACGAAGAAGAGACCACGTCCAGTAGCCGTATCTTTATCAAGATTCTCTTTCAGGATCTTGCTGAGGTGCTTGGAATGGCCAAGCTCCAGGAGCGGTTGAGAGATCCGATTCTCCTCCCCAGCTATGAAGGGATATTCCCAACTGATAACCCTCGCAACACCCGTTTCTCCATCAACTACTTTACCAGTATTGGAATGGGTGTCCTCACTGAAGAGATGCGTGAGCACCTCAAAAATATACCCAAGCCAACCGTACCAGCCATACAAGCCCCTGAATCCGACTCCGAGTCCGTCAGCTCTTACTCCAGCTACAGCTCACGCAGTCGGTCATCTCGCTCCCGGTCACTCTCCCGTTCTCGATCCCCGTCCCGTGGCCGGCGTAGTGTGCGCGGGAGATCAGCATCATACTCCCTTTCTCGCTCTCGTACCCCCTCAAGCAGATCTAGAAGCCCGTCTCGGAGACGCCGCAGAAGCTCCTCGAGGTCAATATCACCAACCCCTCCTCCACAACGCCGAGCTAGACGTGCATCTTCGTACTCCCGCTCTCCATCTGCATCCGCATCACCGCCTCCCCGCACCCGAACCAGAAGGTCATACTCGCGCTCCCCTTCTCGCTCCGTTACTCCTCCCCGGTATCGCCGTGGCCGGGGAAACGAGTCACGTTCTATCTCACGATCTCCTTCACCTCATCCCCGTCGAACCACTAAGGCGAGGGGACGCAGCTTTTCACGTTCACCCACTCCTCCTAGACGTGGCACAGCTCGACGCCGTAGCTACTCTCCGTCACGGTCACCATCTCCTCGGCGTGGTCGAGCAGGTCAAAGGGCCCGGTCTGTCTCTATGTCCCGGTCAAGATCGAGGTCGAGGTCGGTATCGATGTCTCGATCTCCACCTCCGCGGGGCCATGACAGGTACAATAGCCGAGATGCAGTCCCCGAGTCTTCGTCTGCCCGGGCTCGTGCCTCGGATTACCTGTAGCCCAAAAGATACTGGCCCAACCAGGAGGCAGTTTGTTTCAAGGCATGACCATTGCATTCCCGTGTACTTTTACTATTTTATTTTCCTCTTTTATACCATGTCATTGCTCATTGTGGCTTCCTTATTACACGTCCATTGGCTAGCGAAATTGATTTGGCTGTTGCAGACATTTTTTACACCACAGAGCATGTAGAGTAATATCAACGAAACTAGGAAACAAATACCATAATGAGTTACAATACTATATCATAAGCTAAGGAATACCAGCCCGTAGCATCCATGGTTTGATATTTTCATTTGATACGCCGTCTCCATATAGGTAGTGATAATAACTGATCTTCGACTGGGTCATAAACGATGGTCATCCATCCCCCGAGCCGGCATCAACCAGCACAAGCATGCCTCATCCCAATGCCCTGGGGGATCATTTGACTAGGAAGAACTACATAACTCTACAATTGTGTTTCATAAATGTTCAGCTACCGGGTATCATAAACCAACCCCATACAGCAAACTCCACCACCAATTCAACCGGCTGGCAGGAGCCTCAACATAAATAAAAAGTATGCATGGTTACTCATTTATTCCTCCAAAGGAGGAAACATCCCAGTCTATTAAGAAACAAACTTACAGCTCGGGTCAACTTTTCAAACATATAGCAAATCAAGCTAGAATATGCGGGATGTTGTGCAGGACGAAAAAAAGAAGTGTATCAGATATTTAAACAACTCCTTTGGTATCTCACCGTTTTTTTTCATTTTTTGTTTTGAAGAAAACGAAGTTTCAGCCCTGCCTTGCCTCGCTGTTCTTTTCTTTCTCTCGGAGAGCTCCAGTATGTCTGATACTCGGACATCGCCGTGTAGGAAAGAAAGGCGATATGTATGATTGCTTGGGCCTGACCGGGTTGGGATGGGTGTAGAATCCTATTCCTTGCCTGAAGAAAAGGCGGGTATATGATAGGATGTGTTTATGCTGTAGTGGTGTGTAGGATGACCCGAAGGACAGGAGCCAGGCTTCATTGTGAACAGGGGGGCAACGGAGACAGGAGACAGAGCCACGTATGGAGGGAGGGGAGGTTATTTGCTGTCATGAATCGAAATATTATGGACCAGGAGCATTATTTTCCAGCCAAAGCCATGACGCCTGAGACTTATACAGGGCGACTAGCGACTACCAAGGGATCCCTTGGAACAAGGCAGCCCATAGAAGCCCATGTATCTGGGTCCCTGTACCCCCAGGACAGCCAAATAAGCAAATTCTGCAGTCCCAATTCCTAGGAGTCAGATCAGATGCAGTTATGGCCAAGGCGGAGTAAGGCAGGCCGAATTCAATCCCGAGAAAGGAAAACAAATATTACCCCATGGTTAAGCTTGTAATTATGGGAGTAAACCAACTGTGGGTGAGATAAGACTAATCACCTTTGTTATCACGCGCATCAGGAGAAAGAGGAGGAAACGGTAGGAGGGTAGGAGGGATACTGCACAAGAAGAATTATAATTACCGTATACACACCAAGAGCACAGCAGGACTGTGAGCACCCGCCTTCTTGTGACATCTGTTCATATGATTGATTCGGCTAATGTCTAGGAGGGGGAACCACCAGTGAGCGGTGATTTGGCAGACTCTCCTGAAGTTCGCTTCACTATTCGTCCAGCAAGCCTAACCATCCTGCCCCCTCCCGCCTATTTTTGCTTCTTCTTTTCTTTCATCCTCTTTCTTCCCCAGACAATTGAGGAGAGCAAGCTGTCTCCCCGCCCCGAAAGATGCGTTGTCGACCGCGGCTCGCACGTGGAACAGGTGGTATATACGTTGATCAAGTCCTACGTATAATTGATGCGAGTAATTGATGTAGTGCAGGGAAAAACGAAGCATCCTATGGTTCATCAGGAGTTTGGCCGCGCCTGTTTTGGGATCCAAGATAGGGATAACTCCGTCATCTGCAGCCAGCTATGCAATAAATAATACAGACTTTGTACATGGCTGCATGTCAGAGATATCTATAATGAAACGCCTCTTGGAAACATAGTGGCGAATGCCGTGGTATGCAGCAGCAACTATTTTTTCTCCATGGACGGTCTCAGAATTCGATTGAATATGCAGCCCCAAAGATCTGCGATCGGCAGCGGGAAACAAGCTGGCTATCAGCATATAGGGGGACGGTAACTAGACCTGGAGAATTGGCGTGAAACCCACGGCTCTCTGCAATGCTGTGTATATATACTCCGTATGTATTAAGGACGGAGCAAACCATGCCGCCAACAACCGGGCCATCCAGGATGGATGGAATGGATGGATGGATGCGTAATAGATATCAAGAGAGCGGCCAATAGAGTAAATTCCCCGGCCACGGAATAAGGCAAATAGCTTGAGCGGAAGTTTTGTACGGCGTATATCTCCAGTATCAAAATTTCCCGGTGTTGAGAGGGGATGGCTGGAGGAGCCATGGCGGTAAACATCTCCATGCGAGCGCAAATAATCCGTAATAGGAAGCTGATTGCAGCCAAAGAAGAAGAAAAGGGCTGTACTTCCATATGCATGTCGTGCAGCACACAGAACCTGCAACCGCTGCGGATGGAAGGGCACAGTCAGCCAACAGGCACTGCGCTGGGGGTATCGGCCTTCCTCTTTCTCTGCTCATGGCCCTTCGCCTCCTGTAAGTCGGCCACTGGGAAGCAAGAAATACCGTTGTGCTCCATGCCCGGCCTCGTAATCGCCTGTAACATCGATATAATTTTTTTCATTTTTTATTTCATCTTTTCGTATCTGGTTATTTGGGGGCGGGCTGCGGCCTTGTCCCCCCTGGCGGGCGCGTAGGTAGCTGTGCCTGTATTGATTGTATCTCAACCTCCAGCCAGAGGTGCAACCGAGTTGCCAGGAGGAATCCAGGGAGGAAAAGAAGGCCCTTGACTGGGCTAGTCGGCTGGTACAGAGCAGTGCTAGCTCGCTGTCGACTGTACCACTGGCCGGCGTCCGTTACATTGCTTGCATGCAGTTCCTTATTCCTGCGTGACAGGGCCGTCGAAAGGAACCACCGTCACCGTCACCACCATCACCATTGCCAGAGGAAAGAATCGCAGCACTAAGCACATCTGGTGGCCATGTAACGAGGGAGCCTCCCTATCACCCATGGATACATCGGCATTGACATCGACATCCCCATAGCCGCTGCCGGCCGGTACTTGATGCCAGATGACGGTGTACCTATGTTGACGTTGACGAAGAGTGTGACCAGCGAGCCATCGATCTACAGTGGCGGTTACTAGCCGTCGCTCTCCCTTTTCTTCTTCCTTCTCTCTTTCTCTCTTCCAGTCTTCATCAATCATCGTCAAGCAGCTACCAGACTATCGGACTTGGCTATCGCGGCGGCGGCACCAACTTCGGGCAGGGCCTGCGCTGGCTTGCCCATGGCCGCCCCGTCGGTTTAGCCCTTCAAAGCGAGAGATGCAGAGCACCGAGAGGGATATGAACCGAAGAGGGGGCCGCATGCAACAGTTGGCAAAAGACAGAGAGACCCTGACAAGGCCCCGTCTGCCCTGTCTATCCTGTCTATCAACTTGTCCTGGCCTGTCTGTGGCGTAGACCAAGAAAGAGAGAAGGCCCTTGCTCGCGCCCAAAATGCACGTCCAGCCATCCCATCAACAGCATCAGCTCCTGCACACAATCGTCAACGCTTGCTGCAGAGGCAAGGGTAGGCGGCTGATCACCCCGTCGCTGGGCAAGCCGGTCACAGATCCAGGCTAGAGAACACGACTGTGTACCTCTACCTCCCCCGAGGTGGCTTGCTGATGACGGTCGAGGTCCCTTTTTTCGCCTTGTGCTCTCCAGTTCTTCGACGAAATAACTAACGGCACGCCCTTTTCCTTTTCTTCCCCCATCTCTGCTCCGTCTTTCATCAGGGCTGGGGGAACCCCGGAGAAGGGTTATATGTCCGCCTGTCCAGTCGAAAGCCCATTTTCTCCTCTGGTTTCTTCCCACCGTCAGACGCTGTTGGCCACTCAGGGCTGCAAGAAATGGCCTCCCCTTGTCCTACGTGCCAACGGAAGCTTGAGGGAGGCAGAGAGCTTTTTTTCCTTTCTTCTCATTTCTTTTCCGGAGAGACCAAGCTCGGTCAATCTTTACTTAATTGCCTGCAGGCCAGGGTTCTAGAGGGGACATTGAGGATAAATGGTCCCTTCGAGCGTTTAATTTTCGACCAAAGAGAGGCCCAAATAAAATACACCTTTTTACATACATCTTACAGACACACACTCACACAGGAAACACACAGTTAAATCTGGGAACTGGTTAGGTACAGAGTACTTCCTAGAGGATTCAGAAGGGAGGGAATATGAAGACGAGGAGAGGATGAGAAAAAGAAATCAGCCAGCCTGGGGCAAACGAACTCGGTACAGGCATTCTGATGCCTCATATCAGCATTATCAGCAGTCCAGGCGAGGCGTGCTTGACCTGTCTCGTCCAGGGCCGAAGATGGTGCCCCTTATTCAAGCTCTCCACTTCTGCGGCAAGCACGTACTAGTTTCCCTCTAGCCATGGACAAGGGCCCTTCATCTACCCAAATCTTAAAATGGATACATCCTTACGGGACATACATATACTTATCTGTATCGATCGATCATGTCGATTGACTTAATCTTCCACCGGGACCATCTCAGCTAACTAACGGATTAACGGCTAATCGGCCTGGGGGGTGTGACGTTCTCGCCCAGAGAGCCGTAGCTACCAAAGAACATGTAGGTTCTTCCTTGCTGCATCCCCCAAATGCTACTTGTGCAATCTTGGGAGACAGCTCATCATTGCTCACGGGTGTCAGCAGAGAGAGAGAGTTAGCTCCTCGCCCCATTTACGGAAATTGAAACGGTTCGTTCTCTCCCACCGCTCTTGTCCGGGGTTGGCAGGGAGGCAAATCGTAGTGCATCAATGTATCAGCCCTGGAGCCCCTTCATCCGCCTGTCTTCGTCTTCCTTGACGGGAGAAAGGGGGCCGGCCGCAGGAAGGACTTGCATAGCCAACACCAACTGATGCACAGCTACTCAAGACGAAGCCGCCGACAGCACCACGCTGCTTCTCTCCGCACTGGGGCCCAGTTACCCAGTTGTCTCTGTCTGGACAGAGGCATAAACCGCATGTACAAAAAAGGTACGTACGGTACCGGGATGAGATAGTCAGGGAGACCTGAGCAGAACTAACTAGTTCGTGTAAGAAGAGACAGACCCTGGCATCTTCACGAAGGGAGCTAGTTTTTTTTTTTTTGTTATTCTTACCAGTAACTATATGTGTGTTTTCTCTTTGCCTATCTGCAGCGTTGGTCGCATTTGCGATCCATGCGCCGATGAACTGGATTATGATTATCCCTCTCCCGCCTGGCTTCCTGAGATTGGATGGTATACGGACAGTGAGTGAGCAAGCTCCTTTAGTTACCTTCTTCACCATCATGGAGCTAGATGGGAAAGAATACCAGCAAACACCAGGCGGGCGCAGCTCGAATCTCAAATGTTAGATTCTTCTGATCTGACCTCACACATCCCCAACTCGAACTATGCATGGACTCGTATTTCTTCACTTACAAAAAGCAGAGGCCACCATCGTGGTTGTTGCCGCCGACCACGGTCGTCCTCATCCCTACCTTGGACCCCTAGTCTCCTGCGGGAGGCTTGCAGAGATCAGATCTCAGCCTGCATCAACAACACCTTTGATTACCCGCGGAACAAGATGTATTGAGAGAACGAGAGAGCGAGAGACGATTAGCTAGAGAAAGAGAGATCAGGAAAAAAAGCAAAGACACGAAAAGGGGAAAAAGCAAGCATGTCCAAATGGGATGCAGGAAAGGTGAAGAAAGAAAAGAAAAGAAACGAAAAGGCCCGAAAAAAAGGGCGCCGCCGCCCGCCCATCTTGATGGTAGTGAGTTAGAGCCAAAAATATGTCTTCTCTGTAACTCTGCTTGCCGTAAAGAATCCGCTGGGCTCGTAACTAACCTATGGTAATAACAGTGCAGCACGGTAATCTTTCGATCAGGAAGAGAAAACAAAAGCAAAAAAAGAATAAACAGGTGGAAGTATTAGAAATAAAGGGAAAAGAAAAGACGAGCAACCAACTTTGTCCAATCTCCCGTTCTTCCCATCCAATAACTTTGATTCCAGCCCAGTTGGTGGGATACACAGGGTTGAATTAATAGTTTTATAGCAAGGCCCTATTTTGGTCCCTTTCGAACCTGACAGCGCCATCAAATCTAAGCATGCGACTAATCCTTACTCCTTTCACCCATACAGAGCAGAGAGTTAAGAGAGCCAGAGAGAGGGAGCGAGAGAGGGAAGAGGGAGGGAGGGAGGGCAATGCTATGTTATGTTATGTCATGGGGGTAATATTACATTCCTCGCTGTTGTTATACACAATGGAAGAAGACTTGCATGTACTCCGTACAGACTCCATACGTACATACATGAAGGCGTAACTGCTTCTTCTCTTTTTTTAACTATAGGCCTCTTCACTCATCTGTCCGTCCTTTTTCTATATTTGATTTTTTAATTTTTAATCCTTTTTTTCAATTATCATCGTCATCGTCCCCAGCTCTCGAACATCCCGGTCGTCTTTTTTTCTTTCTATCTTAATGCTTTGGACTACTTAATAGTTTTGTACAGCTCACGATCCCCCTTCTCTCTGGTTCCCCATATGGAGTCAACATCCCTATCTTGATAATACCCGTCTCTCTTCTTCTTCTGCTTCTGCTTCTACTACTTCTTCTTCACTTTCTCTTCAATTCTTTGACCTCGCAGACTAACTTAACTCTCGGCTTTGACCAAGAGCCAGCCAGAGTCTCTTTATCAACTCACGTTCACTTACACTTCCACCGCATAAGTTTATTATCCTGCACGGCATTCAATACATACGTTTTATATCCAGCCTTATTTCCTCTCCTCTTGCCTTTATATATCACTCGCTGGATCCGCCAGCGCAACAGGCCGTGCTTTGCTCGCCCCAACCTCTTCGTTCATCTAGGATCGACCGTCCTTTTATATTTATTCATACTATACCCATTTCTCTGGCTCTTCCTGGTGACCTAGTACGACCTTTGCACGTAGAAAAACAAAAAAACCAGGAAGATTTAAACCCAGCCTCCCTGGAATCCCGAGCCACTCGACCCCTCTAGCGGTTTTCCTCGCAGCTCTGTCTGTCTCTTGATTGTCCAGCTCTCGGTAGTCGGTTGCGTACGCTTGATCAACATCAACATCAACAACATACACATCAAGTCAGGCCAGTCCTTCCTTTTTTTCGTTTGTTTGTTTCTTTAGGTCAGAATCTTCCGAACCCTTTCTGTCGTTCTAGAAAGAAGCAGAGAACCCTCGTGATAAGAGGGTATATCCAGCAGGGGAGACAAGCTGCGATCCCCCGCATAGTTTCGATCTCTTTGTTCTGGCTCGCGCATCCATAGCGCCGGAAACGGCTACGGCTTGGTACGCTTGAGCTGTTCATCCTGGAAAAGAGGGATCTCGATCCACGGAACGAGTGACAGGCAGAAGATAGGGTAGAGCTTGGGGATATCGACGAGTCTTGCTAGTCCGAGTTGAAGTAATTAGACGCTGCAATCGTTGCGTCGGTTTTTGAAGCCTTTCGAGCCTATACGCCAGGTCACCCTCGACAGATCGAACCCCTTGTCTCTGAATTCTGAAGAAGCGGTACCATAAAGCCCTGACGAAAAATGAAATCCAACGGGGTGACATCTATTTCCCCCCGGCAGAAGGATGGGAAAGAGAGGAGCTCTCGATCGCTGGAGGACGAATATGTCGTCTTCCTCCAAGGAGTGAGTCTCCTCCCCGTTTTGAAAATATGAACTTCCTGGGCCAGTACACTTGCAGTTGTTTCTAAGCATGCGTCTAATAATGATATTGTGTGGGGCAGATTCCACCACAGTGCCGATGGCAGGAGTTGAAGGACTTTGTTCGACAGACTGCATTGCATATCCGCCAAGCGGTGGTATACGATGATTGTCACGGCCATCCGACAGGCCTAGGTCAGATCATAGTGAAAAACGAGGACGAGGCATGGCGCACATACAGTACGTTTGGAGGCGAAGCCTTCATTATCCCTATATGGATGAGGGAAGACGTTCTGCATTTGCTTGTGCTGACCTGGAGCTCGTAGATCGGCTATCGACGAATGGATGGAACGGACATAGTCTCACAGTGACTCTCTCACTGGCCAGCGAGCCGACGAAGCCGATAGCAGGGCCAACAAAGAGTCCATCTCTTAGCGCAATGCCCTTCGCCTCGGGATTCTCTGCTACTCCGGTCACTTCAGCTCCTATGGGGGCTAGTCCAACGTGCGTACCTAACCAGGAGTAAGTGAAACCACTTTGCTGAAACTATAGACAAGTGCAAAAGGAGGGACCAAGTTTAAGCTAACCTGGGCTACCCGTGAACCAGTATGCCGGCATCGCCCACATTTACCCAGCAATCGGACCACCAGCACCCACCGTTCATGGCACCCTTGCCGAGCGCTTGTCATCCATCATATGTGCAATTCCCAGAGTCGGTCGGGTACCATGTCCCTATGATCTTCCCCGGCGAAAACGGCTTCTTCGTACCCCATCCAGCATTCTATCCACCATCATTTGATTCGTACCAATTCGGGCAGCCACGATACATGGCAAATGGCTGCATCCAAGCTTACCCTGGCTTCTTCCCACACCGGCACAGTCTCTCCGGTCCCAGCGTTGGGGTCGCATCAGGCATGAACCACGAGTACGGCGCACCAATCTCACGAAACATCTTCATTCATAATCTAAGCCATGAAACAACTCCACAGCTCCTGAAGGAATATCTCCGGACCGCAGGGATCATTGACCGATGTGATGTATTCGACCGAAAGATCGGCGGCACTACGCGGACCTGTGCTATCGTGGCCTTCCGGAACAAGGAAGAAGCCAAGCGAGCCATCGCGCTGTTTGATAATTCCATATTCAGGGGGTCGCGGATAAGAGTTCGTTTCGATAGGGAGCGCGGCGGAAGTCTGGGAACGGCCCATGGCAATGGTAATGGGTATGGCCATGGATATAATAGCAACGCCAATCGGAACGGAATTGCAAAGCATGCGATGTCGACTGCCTTCATTGCCGAGCGTCCCGGGGTACATTCAGCGGCTCCGGCACTAGCAAGCAAGGAGGCAAATGGTAGGCCCCAGCCGACGATGACAACTACTCCTGAAACTCCGACGAAGGAGGCCCAGCAGTCTGCAGCAGAATCGCCATCACCCTCGCTGGTCGCAGTGACACCAACTTCAACGGTTGACGAAGCAGAGACAAAGAGTGAAAAGAGCAGCACCAGCAGCAGTTCCCGTAAGAATAGTGTTGAGCCATTGGTCGTCAATGGCTCCTGTGTCGGGGCCAATTCCCTGGTCACAGGCGTTGAGAAAGGTCAGTCCATGCCAACAGGACCTCATCCATTCTTCCACCCGCATTAGTAAACATATACTTGATATAAAGTTATATACCTCGATCTCCTTTTAATCTTACCCCAAACCCCAAATGGCGGGGAAACCGGGAGACATCCGATGATAACATACTGACTGGTTCATATAGATGAACTCTCCCAGCGCACGCTTGCACTGCACCTGTGATCGCCTATCTTCCATTCCTCTTCTATTCTTTTTTTCTTTTCCAAACAAAACGACAAACAAGATTCAGTGGAGAATGAAGGACCAACCCCATACTGATGTGATTCCTCTGGCCGAAGGCAAAATAAGAACCCGAGATTTTGAGCAGTCGGGTTCAAGTCCACATTTCCCGCAACAGTAGTGTAACCGGGTAAGAGGCCTTTCGAACGCGCCAGCGGAATATGCTTTATAGGGGTATAATATACGAAGAGATTCGATTCTCGTTTCACCATTTCGAACTGGTTTGTCCGATTTTCATGCTTACTTTCTTATTGTCTGTTATATTTTGCATCCTTTGTTGCTGTTCATGATTTTATTCCCCATGCCCCCGATACCATCCACTTGGCGAGTCTGTTCTTCATTCTGCTTATGCTGATCATTGACCCTTGCTGCTCATGAATCGTTTTTATTTCTACCTGCAGGTTTATCATCATTTCTTTGGAAGCATGGCGTTTGGTCTCTGTTTTTTTCAGTTTGTCAGATTTTTATTTTATTTGCCTTGTAGGAGTAACGGCTGCAATAATCAAATACATCGCTTTAACTTACACATTTCCGGGTAAAACGTCTGCTGAGACGTGAGCCTCACTTCAAGCCGTTGATGCGCGATGTCTATCCATCTCCGTTGAGAGTATCAAATGTTCCTTGCGTCAACGGTATGTGAGGAGTAGCAAGAATAGGAAAGCGTTGAAGGAGCGAGGAAAGGAGGAAGTCAGGATGAATAAGCACCCGAGCTTATCTCTTTTGTTGATTTTATCGATGTCACGTTGGCTGGACCACGCAAACTAGGAAGAACAGGCCAATCAGAAGACCCCAAGCACTGCGAGGCTCTTTGTATCAGACAAGAACGAAGACAACGCAAGAGATCATGGAGATGGTATGTCCTTGGTGTACAGACATCCAATATGGCACCAGCCTCCTGCTCAGCAGTGGGAATGCAGTGATCATGAAGTGCGAAAGCATACCCTTCACACCCGGAGCAGCGGCACTCCCTTATGCACGACAACATCACAGAGGCAGAGTAGCTTACGGCCCGGAGATGGTGGTGGAGAATCACAAGCATATGTTGTTTCGTATGCTTTATACTCTGGAGAGCTTCTCCTGATACCTCTGGAATCTTCAGTTGACATTTCTCTTCGATCATACATCCATCTTTTTCAGAACCTGAAAAAGAGTCATATCTGGCAATCGTGTTTGGATAATGCATGTGAGAAGGCAAAGGCCTTAGATAGATCTCTAATCATGCCACTTTGAATCATTGGTCTGACTTGGGATCGTCCCTACGTGGTATATACAGGGAGCATTACAAGCTGCTGGAGACCCACGCATTTTGTTCGGAATAGATACCAAGATAGATTTCCCACTTGATACTACCTGCCTAGTGCTGCTCGGTAGATCCTTGGATGCCAATCTTTCCGATACGGCGAGTGGCTCTAGAAGATCCGGTTATACTGGCTGGTATTCGTGAGGTGATATCAATATGTCTGGATCCAGATCCATAGTGCTGATCAATCTCAGTACCTTCTAGACAGGGCGGACTAGAAGATAGCTCCGGAAAGTAGTTGAGGGCGGGAGAAGCGCCAAACTAGCTCCCTGAACTGGCCCTACTCCCAGAGTAGGTAGTGAATCGAGATTTTGCGAAGGGTAATCGGAAGCATAACTGGGCTACAGAGACCGGTTACGGAGTTGCCGTTGATGCAAAATAGACAAAGAGAGTCCAAAGCTTGCTAGCTGATAGCCGATGAGCGGACAGAGTTGGGCAGAAACCGACAGCTACTAGCAAAGGGAGGCAAATATCGAGCAAGCTTGATTAACTGGCGATGATCAGTGTGGCTTGTTAACCTTCGTTGGGGCATTTTACCAGCCGCGAGAGAGAATAGGGAAACTGGTAGCAAGTCAGTTATACGGTTACATCCAGCAGTTTGGATGCAAAGGGTAAATGATTTCCATTATTAGATAATCTGGACATCAGGGTTTCCGACACATCTAGACAAGCAAAGCTAACCAGAGTTTGGTCAAGACCGCCAAAGCCAGAGCCAGACCAGTCCATCTATCGTAGACCGCTGCATTTTTAGAGAGGTCATGATAGAGCACCTACTAGCTACAGCTCGAGCCCAAGTGAAGCGCTGGTGCTTCATGTCCAAGCGTCACTGAAATGATCAGGATAGCCTCGACCGCTGTTACTACTACCATGGACGGCACAGGAAATGAGATATGAGACTCAAATCTTGAAGTTGGAAATTAATAAGTAGATTTGAATGTTAACTCAAATTTGGCGAGCTAGTACCGAGGTAGTTTAAGTAGTTATGGAAGACACGCCAAAGCGGCCAGTAGCCGCCCGTTAGTATAGATGAGAATGTAAGGGGATATTATTGATTGATAGGAAGATATCTAGATAATACACATGATTGAAAAAGGAGAGTATGCATGGTGGGGGATTGAAAAGGGTAGAGTAGGGCAGAAATAGGGGGAGGGGATCGGGAGGCGAAAGAACCGTTGCATCTGGCTCAAGAGCTCCACAAGAGAAGTATATGATTGATAGACGGTGGGTCGGGCGGCAACTGATCCCTTCTTAATTTTGTTTCTTAAGAGAAGCTAGAATCAAGGCCGTTTCAAGCCTGTTTTGGGGGGAGGCGGGAAGAAAGGAAAAAGGTGAATAAGGTAATGGTGTGGTGATAGTTGGTTGGCTGGTAGACTAGTTCGCTGCCTGGCTCGCTTTCCTCCGTCTTCCTCTGGTCGAGACCTTGAGAACGTGGCGTGGAGCCGCTTTCTCCGCGTATTGATTTGTGACCGTAGAAGTTTTTTCTGTGGTGGGAAGTCAAATGTTGCTAGACGACTGACTCGTTCGCGTTGTATAGACAGTAGCAGGTAAGACTCTGGTGGTCGATGCTATCTGCGTGTGGCAGAACGCCCGTTTATCTCCTGGTGTACCATTGTGGATAATTGGGTACGGTGGGTGTATAAAAATCTCATGCTGAGAAGCTCCGTCTGTAGTAGGGTGAGAATTGCAGTGATGTAGCCTGGTATCCTTTTCTGTGTAGGAAGAAGTAGGGCATAATAACTGTTATCGTGGTGTGGTCTACCGTCCCTGGTTCATTCATCGTATGAACCCGACCATGCCGGCACATCGGTTGCAGTAGTAACAGTTGACACCGAATTGGACTGATTTAGAACCAGGTGAAGTCAAAGAGAGCTGGCATCTTGAGCATCGGACTGCCTCGAAGGTAGCGTATGTAGAGCCAGGAGTGGGCATGCCCGGTGTTGAGGTGCTGGGCGCCTGGCGAGGGACCGCTGAAGAAGACATAGTGATAGTTGTGTTGTTGTAACTGTTTCTTGTATAGCCGGAGCACGCCGGAAGACTGTTGGCAAGTGTTGTTGTATGCAAGGAGTATGGTAGATTGAAGATGCTTGTGTTCGTATATACGGCCGGCGCAAGAATGATTCCAAGTCTTTAGTGTGGTGTTTGTAGAAAATATCTAGAGAGAGGGGAAAGAGTCCAGAGCGAAGGGAACAAAGATGGTTATATATCGAGAAGGCTTCTCCGAGCCGGAGGATGAAAAGCTGCGGAAAAAGCAATACCAGGGGACTCTGCAATCCCTCCACCGTGCGTCGTAGGGATGATTTTTTGTCCGTTTTTGCTTTTCCTTGATTCTCCTTGCTTTTTCTCTTCTCTCGCCCAGTGTAAGCAGCATCCAGGCGGCCAGGCTTCGGTTGGCCAGTTTTGAAAAAAAAAGGCAGGCAGCCCAAACAAGAGTCACGTATTTGCAAAAATAGAGCAGGGCGAGATGAGACGGCCGGCTGAGCCACACTCTTCTGCTGGCCAGGAAAAAGCAACAACCAGGAGCCCAAAAGCCAAAAATATGGCCTAGGCGAGGGCCAAACACCGCAGAATTAAAGGGTGATTTTCTGTTTCAACTTCAGATTTTGAGATGGAACGGACGGAAGGCGTGGCTTGTGGGAGCCTGAAGGGCCCCTCGTGGAAGCGTTCCAGCCTGGCAGGGCAGCAAGGAAGGAGAACCCACTATCAGGGCAGAAAGACACATATAAGGCCGCCGTTATGGATGTCCGTAGTACTCCGTCTAGGAAGAGAAGCGAAGGCTTCCTTGAAAGCGGACGGCAGAGAGAGAGATGACACTGAGTCATGATGCCTGGTCTGATGGACAAGATGGCTAGCTAGGCAGCTGTATTCTTTTTGTTTTTTTGCGTTGGCTTGCATCGTTTTGGCTGGTTATCTGGCCAGTCTCATGCCTAGATGTATGTATCATCTGCATGTCTATTGCCCTCGTATGCCACGGCTGAGTCGATCCGGGCCTGAACCTGAGCGACCTGGTCCGGAAACGGCAGCAGACCCAGAGTGTGCGTGGCTTTTTCATATGTAAGTACTCCGTACATGGTAAAAATGATAATGTATATGGCTCTAATAGTCCAGCCAGCATCGATCGGCTGCTTTCTTTTCTTCTTGCTCCTCGCGGAAGAAGCGATCGAAATGGAGGTGGGCCGCGGGTACGGCTCAAATCATGCCCAGTAGTTGTGCTAAAGGGGGAAGCGAACTGGTTTTGGCCTGCTTGCTTTTTGGCCCACTGACTCGGGGACTGCGATGTTATGCAGCAGCAGCAGCAGCAGCAAGCAGCGAGGCTGGTTGTGCTGCCAGCCATGTCAATGCATGCGTTGGCTTGTCAGCGCCCCGTTGGTACATGCTTGGTGCACACACATACGTACATCCATACATAGATAGATACGGGCTTGCCACTGTCGCGATGGGGTTGGCAGGGCGCCTGCAGTGTACACAGTCCTGCTGTATATTTGGCTAA